ATCTAAATCTCTATATCTATAAAACTATAAATGTTGAGTAATGATGAAATGAATAACTATCTCACCCAACAATTAAAAAAAAAGAAGCATAATTGAAGAGACAGTGTATCCACACAAACTTCTTTTCAATAACTGCCAAACCTAGCCATAAATGAAATAATACAATGAAAATGAAGTCAAATAAAAATGTGGTCCCTAGTCAATGTCGAAATAATACATCACGCAATTTTCTCTCTTCCATTACATCAAGAATTAAATTTTAATCTTTAATAATTATTTTTGTCCTCAAAAGAAGAATATATATTTGTGCCCTTTCCTCAATTCACAATTGAAATTCAACATGACTTGAGGATACATATTCAAGGATTTAGAAAATATCAAGCCTGGGAGTTGTGACATCAAGTCCACTCATCAAGCCAATTAAGTTTCAATTAATTAGCTAATCATCACTTTAAAAAATAAAAATAAAAAAGCTAGAAAGAGAAGCCCACTACGTTTGAAGACTTTGGGTATTTTCATAATTGCAAACAAAAATAAGAAAAATGAATATGGTATCTGATATTTAAATTAAATTTTGAGAATGTCAAAAAATAGGAAAAACCACTTCCGAATATTTTTGATGATCACTAACCATAGATATAATTTTAGCATTTTTATCTCAAGAAATGAAAAAAAATTATAAATCATAATAAAATATAGTTATACACTTTGGGAAAATATGCCTGATGCCTGCTGAATAGAAGTTAAAAAAAAAAGAAAATAAAAACTTAGGAACATCTCTTAACTCATTTGATTGATTCTTCTGTGTTTTAATTGGATGGAATAATTTTGATAGGAATAGAAGCAAGAAATAAAGAACACTTCTTTCGTTATTCAATAAGAAATGTTAACAAATTAAAGTGAGCTCTGGCCATCAAATCTCTATTTTGTTACTAACAACTTGTCATGTTACTGAGGGTGTATGAGTGCTTTTAGTTTTATTTTTAACTTTTAAAATATTTATTTTCTTTCGTCATTTATAATTTATTAAGTTTGATAGTTTAAAGTCATTCATTATATTGAAATTGATAGGAATGATGATAAACTTGCAAAGATCTTTCTTAAATTTTTATTTGTATTGTTTAAATGTTAGTAAATTATTTATAGTCACCAATGAAGAAGTGATTTGGGTACCAATATCACAATTGAATTTTGGGAGTAACTCATGAATACACTGGCCTACAGCTACTCAGGAAAAATACTTATTCAAGAATTTTGTTTTGACTTCGTCTTCTTATTTTTCTTATTTAGATTATTTTTAATTGATTAAAATGGAGTATGTATGGACCACTTAGTGCTTGCTTTTATGTTTTCCACAGAAATGGAGAGTGACTTTGATGCCCACTCATAAGTCAAGCATGTCATTTACCATATTCTCACAAGACTCTGAAGAATTTTCATTTCCAATCAAATATATATATATATATATATATTATGGCTACTCACAAGTCTTCCCACTGTTAACGTTTATTTGGGGTTGTCCTCTATATATACAAAGCTGTGATGATGAAAATATGGTTTTTTTTTTTTGTCAAAGATGAAAATATGGTTTTTGATGTAAAAACAAACCACTTTTTGGGATGAAGCTTTTTTTGATGATTGACGTAATTTTCTTTCTCTTTCATTGCATCATTTTCTTTTATGGGATAATTTTTATGTAATAGTTATTCCTATCTTTTCTCAGCTTACAAGTCAAGCACACCGTGCACTTCATCACTTATGTAGAAATAGCATGAGATAGAATTCTAATTTTTATAAGGACGGAATAAGGCAGAGAATTAAAAAAAAAGGAAAACACAGAAAGAAAGTTTTACCATGTTTAGCATATAGACTTATCAAACTTGCGAGTCTTATCAAACTTGAAGTCTATATGCTAAACATGGTAAAACTTTCTTTCTGTGCTTTCCTCTTTTTAATTCTTTGCCTTATTCCCTCCTTATCTTGGAGTGACACAAAAAAGGATATAAAAAATTACAAAAAATAACCCAAATTTTTTTGGTCATTTTATGTAATTTTTAGGTCCTTGTCTGTAAGTTTTGAATACTTTATTGTGATTTTGCGGGTTTTTTATCATCTTTTAGTTAACTAATAATCAAAATTAATTTTGAGTAAACAATTAGCATGATAAATGAATTCAGGGTATATGGTATTACAGGACCAAAAGTTTTGGGAGTAATTTGGTCATATACCATTTAGAAAATGACAATTTTTTTAAATATTAAAAAATCATGTTTGAATATGCCAAGTGATTATTTATATATTAATAACAACTCATCCATAATTAACAAAACCCATGAAAATGCTTGGAAAAAAAAATAAATTTATCATATAGCATAAAATTGATCACTTGTCAATATTGAAGAAATAAGTTATAAAAAATTGAACAAATTGGTATTTGGAAATTGAAATTTTTTTTTTCAAATATTAACAAGTCATGTTTGAATATTGACAATTGACTGCATGGATTTTAACAACAACTCATCCAAAAAGAACAATAATCGATGAAAGTTAGTGTACGTGTTGCAAAAAAATTGAACAAATTAGTTTTTAGAAATTGACAAATTTTTCAATTAACTAGTCATATTTGAATATTGACAATTGATGCAACTCTTCCAAAAATTACAATAATCGATGAAAAAGTGTGTTGTGTGTGTGTTCTTTTTTTTTTTTTCGGGAGGGGGATCTGTGAATCCTATGCAATATTGGGTGGGAAGTGGTTCAATAATAATTAAATAGATTTTCTCAAAAAAATAAGGGATATTTTCATAATATAAGTGAAAAGAAACATAGCTTTAAGATTTGATAGTTGTTTGTGTCCTTATTCAACTCAAAAGTCAAAAACACCATGTGTCTACGATTTCAATGATTCAGAAACTAAAGAATTTCCTATTACATTTTATTTAGGCAATTAATTCGGACCACACAAATGGATGAATAAGTCTTTCACGTCCCCTTCGGGGCAAGAGTCGACTACGACGGTCAATTAAATTTCAGCTAATTACATCATCATCAGTTCGATTCAAAAGCAAAGCCTAGAAAGACAAACACTTAGAATTTGAAGACTTTGGTTATTTTTATAAATGCAATAAAATGTCAAATATAAATATCATATTTTTATAGTTAAGTTAAACTGAATCTTAAAAGATACATTGTGACATATAAATCCATAAAATTAAAAAAGCACATCAATAATTTATTAATATTATTAAATTGTAGAAATAATTTTAGAAATTTTTTGATCTCTAGAAAAAAAATTATATATATACATCATAATAAAATAAAGTTATATTGTTTATTTATCTGGAGAGATCTGTTGGATATAAGTTGTAAAAAAATAATTTTACAATATTATTAAATTATAGAAATAATTTTAGAAATTTTTTTATCTCTAGAAAAATGAAAAATTATATATACACATCATAATAAAATGTGGTTATATTCTTTATTTACCTGGAGCGATCTGTTGGATATAGGTTGTAAAAAATAATTTTATAAGAAAAATAAAAAAATTGGGTCCTTATTTGTAATTTTAGAGGTCATTTTCTGTAATTTTTTAGTTAGCTAATGGTTAAAGTGAACTTTTATTAATGGTAGAGATAACATTGTAAGTTGATTGAGAATATTATAATAAAAATGAAGTTAGAGTCACAGATGCTTTTGAGGGATCTATAGTTTAAGAGTGAATCATTTTCTTTCATCATTTCTTTTATATTCATTAATTTTATGCAAAAATTCAAACTCATGCTCTTGTATGGGTTATTTTCTTGTGAGCTAAACCGGACAACCTTAATTTTGTTAGGAAGTTATCTTTCAATATAATTTTTCAAAATGCTTTTTTCTTTAAAATTGCATACAATTACCACATCAAGTCTCTCATGTAAAAAGTGGATTATTAGTTTGAGTGTTGTGATTTTTTAAATATACATACAAAACGCATACTCTTTTCTTCACATAAAATACATAAAATCAGCAAACAAAATTAAAAGCCGCACTTGTACCCAAAAAAAAATTAAAATTAAAACTGTACTATTTAATTGCTTGTATTTTTGAAGTCAACTGTGGTATTTTTATATGGGTAAATTAAGATGAAATCACCAAAATAAAATATACACAACGAGATTATATAAAAACTGTTTTGAGTGAAATGAAGTGTGACTTTGAGGAATCCTCACAAGTCAATTAAGCAATTCATGACAAGTAGTTGGTTGCGATCTATATGTACATCCAATCAATAATGATTAAGTTTGTGAAGGGATAACGCATGTATACAATCTTCTTACAATTAATGTTTCTTTTGGAGCACTCCCTGTCTCATGGCCTACCAAATTGACCATAAACGATATAATGCAATGGAAATGAAAATGTGGTCCAAGAAATAAAGGGATGGCTTTTTTTTCATCCTCATGGGACGACTTTTAATCTTCGATTTTCCCTAGCACATCTCATGTGTCAAGTATGCCATGTGCCAACACAACGAGATGGATGAGTCTTTTTTTTTTAAGGAAAAATAATTTCATAATTAAAGTTAGTTATATGTACTTATTGTTTAATTTGCAATCGATTTTTTAAGCTTCATAATTATTTTAATAATTTTTAGTTTACGATTCTCTTTGAAAATTGTTTTTTTAATAGCCATTATTTATAATTTCATGTTGTGCAAGTGCTCTGAAAACACCGGATGGAAAGATATTCAATGCTTGAAAGCCTGGATATTTAATACAGAAGCACAAAGTATTTAAATAACTGTGATATCCATGTAGTAAATTTAATTTTGAAAAGGTTAAAATAACATCTTCAAATATTAAAAAAAAAGCAGATACAATATATCCAACACGCTAATTAATAGTTTAGTTGAACCTTTCAATTTTTTTCAATCTTATCACGGGAGATGTCCTTTCGTTATTTGGCAGTGTTTGCACGCCTTGAATTGATTTGGAATTGCAATATAATATAAATATGAAATGTGTATTATATTCCTAGATACACAACACTTTGCAAATTTCACAAAGTCTGATTCGCTGAACGTGGGAAAACCTCCTTTCTTGGTTTCCATCTTCTTGTTTTATTGCTTCATGCCTTCCTTAGCTTTTATTGAGACAAACAACACCATGGATAAATCCACACTTCTTGCCCTAAAAACTTCTATCACTTTGGATCCATATGATTTCCTTGCTAATTGGTCTGCATCTTCTCCTCCATGTAATTGGGCTGGTGTCACTTGCATCATACACCATGGAAGGGTCCATTCCCTGAATCTTGGTGGCATGGGTCTTAGAGGCACCATATCTCCACAATTAGGACATCTCTTATTCCTTGTTGAACTTGATCTTAGTAACAACAGCTATTATGGTCAAATACTAGAAGAGTTAGTTGGATTGCATAGATTGAAACTATTCAACTTGAGCTACAATTACTTTACTTTGATGGACAATTTCCAGCATGGATAGGAGATTTGTCTGCACTTGAGTGCTTAAATATTCAAAACAATAATCTTAGAGAATTTATTCCACTATCTATATTCAATCTATCAAGGTTGGAAACCTTAGATTTCAATTATAATTTAATTCAAGAGACCATTCCACTTAAGGTGGGGAGACTTCAGAGCTTAAAGATTTTACGAATTGCAACAAAGAAGCTTTTAGGAATCATTCCCCAAACAAATTCCAACTTATCCTTACTTGAATTATTGAGTTTGCCTTACAACACTGTGTCAAGTATGTTTTAGATTGTTTTTTATATCAATACTTGTCTTTGCTCTAAACTAGTCTATTTGTTTAGCGTGATATATATATATATATATATCTCAAGTGCTCAAGAAAGCTCTAAGGTTCTCAGATGTATGTTGCTTCAGAGATTACATGACTTTATATAGAGTTGGCATTCCAACCCTGGTTACATAACCTTAGTTAATTTTAACTTTAATAATTACAAGAAAATAAAACTACTTTTGACAAAATGAAAAAGCTAGACTTAGACTTCTTAGGCTTTTTGACAAAATGGAAAGTTAAAGTATTTATTACAAGAGACAATATAGGTTTAGACTTCTTTTTAGCTCTTAGTCTTTTTGATTTTTTCTTCTTCCATCTTCTTCAGTCTTCTTTTACTTGTCATCAAGCTAATCCAAAATATTCATGTTGATAGAAGGGTCTTCATAGTCTTTGTCAGCTTCTCTTTTTTCATCACAATATTTATATTTATGGATAGCATACTCTGACAATACTTGACATATTTTCTTCTTTGTCCCTTCATCATTATCCATCAAATTATTTCTTAGTCTTTGGTACTAATTATTGAAGCTTCTTGAATTTCTGCTATTTCTTCCTACTAAGAAAATACACGTTGTTGGGCCAGTGAAGTATGTCCACTGTTCTTCTTTTGTTGTAGTTGTCCTATTGTGTTCCTGAAAAATTATATGTACTTCTTGTGCTCTGATAGTGGAGATCTTATATATGAAGTCTTCGTCATTCATAATATCTTCTTTTTCTTTTTGATCATACTCAAATGGTCTTCTTGTTGTCCCAAACTTAATCAGATTAATTAGAGGATAAAATTTGTTAGGAGTTATTTCTGCTATTGTGGAGTAACACCGAATGAAAACTCGGTATTGAGTTACTATTCTAAAATAATGTTTGGCAACTTCCTTAATTGACTCTAGAAGTTTTGATATTTCTGACATATCATTAGATAGATATATAGAGTGGATAAGGCCATAACTATAAAGGGTTTTTACAAGATCAGGGTTAGTGTTTGGATAAAGAACGACTTTATTGAAAGAATAATGAGAAACATATTTAATATTACTAGTATTAGGAAGAGTAAAATGGTTGGTCTTATTGATAAGGAGTTTAAGATAATTATATTAATCAAGAGTTTTAAAAGATGGTGAAGTTATTGGGCTTGGACTTCTTCTCCTACAAGAGGTAGAAGTGGATGCACTATTTTGAGGTGTTCTTATCACTATTTGGGCTTTAGACTTTTGGGCTTCTTTTACTATTTCAGTTAAAGAAATTATTGGGCCGGTTTTTTTTTGGACTATGAGGCTGGAATAATGATTCAAGAGTTTGAGTAAATGACTCAATTACTTGTTTTACTTGTCTTTCAAGGGATTGGGATAATGTACCCTTAGATTTCTTTAAGTCCTCCACTTTACTTGTCAAAATATTCACCTCATTTCTGAGATGAGCTACTGATTTAGATAATGATTGCATACTATTATTTAGTTGTCCAACAAGAAGGCTCGTATTCATCTCCAAAATATTTACCTTCATGATTACTTGGTCTAGTGGGGTCATTATTGGACCTGTAAGTGAACTACCACCATTACTAATTGTCATCATATTTGTCTCCCTTCTATTTGACTCCATATGGACAAATAATCAGCAACAAGATTATTTTTTCCTTTAATAGATTCAATTTCATAATCATAATAAGACATATCTGATTGCCATTTAATTAACATCTTATTACATAACTGAGTTGTCTTTATTCCTTTATTTAACCAATGTTTTACTTGAGTATTATCAGTTCTTATAATGAATTTAGTATTAACAATAAATAATTCAAACTTTTATACAGCTTTTACTATTGCTAAAAACTCTTTCCAATTTAAATGGTATCTAGTTTGAGAATCATTAAATTTTTCACTTGCATATCTAGTTATTACTTCTTCTTTTTCATTAATGTGATATAAAGCTGCTGCCCAATAATTTTCACTAGCATCTGTATATATTATCCATATTACATCATTATTTATTGGAATAGTTAATTTAGGTAGATTTTGACATAAATTTTTTATTTGATTTACTATTTTTTCTTTTTCTTTATCCCATATCCATATTGTCTTTTCTCCAGCTAATTTACTTACTTTTGCTGTTAATTTTGATAAGTTTGATATATAATTTCTAGCCTCATTTACTAATCCTAAAAATGATTGGAGTTCTTTTTTATTTTTAATTTCATTTAATTCCAATATTGTCTTACTAATATGTTCTTGTAATTCTATTTCATTATTGGTCATGTACTGTCCTAAAAATCCTATTCTTTCTTTTCTTTATTCAGCTTTCTTAGGTAATATATTTAATTTTTTTCTTCTATAAGATCTATAAATTGTTCTAAATGTTTTTCATGTTCTTCTTTATCTTTTGAGAATATCAAAATATAATCTATATATATGACAGCAAAATCTTTTATTGGCAATAATAATTTTGTTACATATTCTTGAAATATACTAGGGCTGTTATGAAATCCCATAGGTAAAACATTCCATTCATACAATCCTTCAGATGTACTAAAAGCAGTATATTTTTTACTTTCTTCTAATTTTATTTGACAAAATCCTGATTTGCAATTAAATTTACTAAATATATTTTTTCCTCTTATTAAATTAAATAATAAATTTATTTTTGGGATTGGATATCTATTTCTTATTGCTAATTCATTTAATTTTTTATAGTTTATAACTAATCTTGACTTTCCTCTTTTTTCTTCACTATGTTTTACTACAATCATAGCAGGTGATGAATATTCAGATCTACTTTCTCTTATTAAATCATATTGTTTCATTTCATTAATATGCATAATAAATTCTTTTTTATCATTTTCTGTCCATGGGTATGGTTTATAGTTTATTTCTTTACTATAATCTCTTAATTCTATTTTTGCTAATGGTTTAGATTTTTCCCAATGTATTAAAGGATTATCACTATAATTTTCTAATAATCTTTGTTCAATTGTTTTAATTTCTTTTGTAGTATTTAGCATTTTTATTGAATTTATAACTTCATTATTGTATAAAGGTTTTTTATTTGGTAGAAATTGTACTTCATATTCTTCTGTCTTTTGAAATTTTTCATCTTTTTTACTGTATGGTTTAGTTACTCTTAATCCCCATACTTGGTGTTTACAAAGTGTTGTTAATATTAATGCTTTTTCGAACATATGTAAAGGATAATATTGTTCAATAAAATCTATTCCTATTATTACATCACATGAGTTATCATTACATTAGTTTAATTTTATGATTTTTAATTCATATTCTCCTATTTGTACCATAATTTCTCTTGCTTCTAATTCTATACAATTAATTTCTTGTCCTACCCCTTGCATTCTTAATACTTTTTTTTTCCATAATTCATTGGTAATAGATTTGCTTTTGCTACTGAAATATTTGCTCCTGTATCAACTAAAGTATGATATTTTCTAAATCTATATTTTTGATAATTAATTTTATCAATATGTAATATAATTTTGTCATATCAATTTTATCTTTTAGATTACTATTATTTGATGATTAATATTTATCATAATTCTCTCTTGTTGTATTCTCCATGGTTTTACTTGTTCTAAGAAATCTATTCCTAGGATTATTTTACATTGATTATTATTATCATCTATTACCTAGAATTTTACAGTTAACACATCTCTTTCATTTATTCTTATTGAAGATATTGTTCTATTTCCTTCATTTGTGACTTCAAGATTATTATTTGTTAATCCTAATTATATTGTACTTTTTTGCTCTCTTGGGTCTACTAAGGCCATTACATCTATCCAATTAGCATCTTGTTTTACTTGTATAGCTATATAATTATTGTTTTCTATTGGTGTCTCAGGTCTTATTGATTCTAAGTTTGAACTTATAGGTCTTTTAGTTCTAGATTTAACAATAATCTTTCTTGTCTAGATAATTCTCTACTTGTACTAGGTCTTGGTTCAAAACTAAAACTTCTTCTAGTATTAGGTTGATTTATATTTATATTTAATGTTGGTGTACTTATTCTTAATGTTCTTTGTCCTATATTGTCATTGGTTATTAGTCTTCTTGAATTATTTTTGTTTTCATAATATCCTATTGTATTATCTAATTCTAATTTAATTGTTCAGGTATTGTTATTCTGGTTGGATCTAATTCTATTTCTTGTAATACAGGCATAAAATGTTTGTCAATTGTTAATTTACCTTATTTCTTTTATAAATTTTATGTTCATTTGTAAATACTAATCATGTCATAGCAGTTATACTTATTGTTCTTGATCATGATAATAATTTTATTCCTCCTAATTTATGATATATTAACAAAGTTTTATTCATATTTTCATCAACTCTTGAAATACTAAAGTTAGTATTTACTGTAAATTTTAGTTTTTGATATATTAAATTTTAGTTAATATTCCTAAAATATTGTCCTCCACACTACTTATTATTCCTCTATCAGTTATTAATAATTCTATTGGTAAGTTTCTTCCTTCTTGAAAATAAGCTTTTACTAATAATTGTACTCCAGCAATATATATTTCTATTACTTACCTTTGAATGATAATTTATTAATTTCAACATCTATTAAGGCTTTACTTATTAATGGTATTCTTAACACTCCTTCTGTTAATGTTGATTCTATTAGGTATTTCTTTTCTAATACTACACATGCATATTTTTCTTGTTTTTAGAT